GACGGAGGCCAGAAGAAGCGTCAGAGCCAAGGAAAATATCTGCAGAACGGCCGGCCCTGGGCGAGAGATGGCGACACTGTGAGTTTATTTCTTAGTGTTAATGTCTTCTGTGGAAACACTTTAGTATGCAACTTTGCTTGTGACACATTCCTTTGTCCCTTTTCTGCAGGGAGGAATGACTCTGACCTATGACCCCACCACAGCCTTACAGAACGGGTCAGTACTTCTACTAAGACAAACCCTTTAAAACCCAGAGGGAGTGCGACCATGTTGTGGTGACTAATAACGTTATGTCTCTTTCTTCAGATTCTACTCCTCTCCATACAGCATCGCCCCCAACAGGATGATGGGGCCCACCTCCCTCTCCCCATACATGCATTCACCTATGTCCACCTACCAGGTACTTTCAGACCCTCAGAGCTGGGCTGTTGGTTAGTTGAGATGCTAAACATTCCTTTTTTCTTTCCCCTCTGTGAAAAATAACTTACTATCCTCGTATCTGGCAAACAAAAACAATGCCTAGAAGCTTAGCTTGTTTCTCCTGAATATACCTAAGGGGACAGTTCTCTTTGTCAACTTGACTGCTGACTTTAATACAAAATCTATATATTGTAACTAAAGTTGTCCTTAACAAAAGACATTCTTAATTGACTTACAGTCATACAATTTTGTCAAATAACCGACACGTTGATTCAATAAACAGTGCACAAGGATGCACTCATAAGTTTTTCAGAAATGAGTTATTGAACATAAAAGAAGCATACAATCTAATTGTAACTAAGACACATTTTTGTATGTATGTTATATCTGTATTTGTAACTACGTTTTTATACTATTTTTTCACATTCTGAAATTTGGCAATATCTATGCTGTCTGTTTTTTGTTTGGTAATCAAATATATGTTTTAAAGATGTTAAACTGTGGCTTAATCAAACCCAGGCCTGCTGTCAAATTCCTGTAAACTGTAAAACACGAGTGGCCAAAAATGCTTGAAATCTTTAAAACAGTGCATGGGGCTTTTCTTGACTATTTTCTATTTTGCTTGAAACTATTTATGTTTTTCTTGTTCCTACAGGTACACAACCCATCCTGGCTACATCACCAGTCCTACATCATGCCGCCCGCAGTGAGTATCAGGTTTCTTTAAGCCTTCCTTCCTGTTTTTGTTGCAGGAGAAGCATTTTAATATTCTGCTGCCTTCACACTCTGTCTGTCTGACTAACGGTGTCTTTATTTTAACGGCAACTGCTTACCCTGCTGTATTTGTTTTCCTTATAGGGAGCCGTCCTGACGCCAGGAATGGACCACGCCATGTCCATCCAGCCCACCTCCATGATGGGGCCCCTGGCGCAGCAGCTCAGCCACCTCTCCATGGGCAGCAGCGGCACCGTCAGTACAGAGCAGAACCTTCATCATTTAGCTAGCTGATGTTCAGCTGTTAGATAGTTTAACCAGTCTATGATTGTGTTATGCAAGAAAGTCCAAGTCAACTTTATTGTCAATCTTTCAGTTTGTGTGTACAGACAGAGAAATCAAAATACCGTTTCCCAACAATCCCGAATACAAAATACAATAATATATAGAAATATGTATAAACCTATAAACACAATCAACAGACACCTACATAAGTGTATAGTAAGGTTATGAGAAAAGCAATAATCTAAACTTTTCCTGAGGATTCACTGACTCTTTTTATAGATCTGCCGAATCCATATAATGAAGAAGACTTTTATTTGGCAAATTAGATAAATCAAATGAGTTAAAATCCGATGAATGTTATCTTGAGTTTCAGCTAAGCTTTGCTACCTTGGCTGATAAACCAAGTTGTAATGTTGCTTATACATCGGGTCTAGTACAGCTTAATTTGACAGTGTTACCGCCAATGTAGCTTCCATGTCTAATGGTCATATCCTCTCTATTCTCCTGCAGTACATGCCTGCTAACACGTCTATGCAGGGGACCTACATCCCCCAGTACACCCAAGTGCCTTCCGCCAACATCTCAGTTGAGGTAACAACCTATATTTGTCCTCACGAGAACAGTTTAAGTGTTATGTTAAATAATCACAAACATTAATCATTGTTTCCTGCCTCAGGAAAGTGCCGTCCAGCCACCTGTTGCCATAGAGACAGCCACAGAACACGCAGCCTACACCTACCAGCATAACAAGTGAAGAGGTGGCAGAGGTGGGTTTTAATCAGTTGTTGTTTGCTTGTTTTGTGTCTGTGTATGTGAACATATATTAATCCAAAAATAAATGTTCGCTTCACTTTGATGTTACTGTTTGTCAGATCTTCTCCTGGAGCCGGAGTTGCTCTCTCAAGGGGCCCAAAGTGCTGAAACTCTGCACACGACTCTGAACGTATGGCACCAGACACTCGGGAGGAACACGGACTGTTACACAGAAAGGACAACAAAATATATATTTTCTACAAACTCATATTTTAAAACAAACTCTTTAACTTCAAACAACCCCGGCTGGAGGATGGCAGGCAATGGAAGAACAGAACAAGGATGCATCTATTTTGATATAGGTCAAGAAAAGAGTCAAACACAGATACTCACAGTCAATGCTTGAAAGTTTTATATTATTTTCGAATAATACTCCGGGGAGCTAGAATGAAACCAGGAAAACACCATTTCAACACCATGTTTTATTTTGAGTCATGTTTTTTTCACTTTTTTGTAAGACATGCCGATTTTACTTTGTTAGTTTGATGCTTTCAGGCTTTGAACCTGCCTTTTTGTACATAACTCTTTGTTTTGGTGTGCTTCTTGCTTCATGTGTCCTAGTTTGACTGATGCAAATGTATAAATACAGGGCTCTCCAGGCTAAAAGGAGAAGTATTTCCAGAAGCTCACGCTTTAGACGTCTCTCAAAGTAACAGCAATTTGATCAGGTATGAAACCTTACCTGAGGTGGTCTCGCTTCTTTTTGGCTCTTCAAATAATTTATAGTTCCAACAATCTCGATAAAGCTGCAGACAATCATAAGATAACAAAAAAGACAACATGTAGAGATTATTTCACAGGAAGATTTATTTTAAAGAGCTAGATTAAAGCATTCCAGAGATTATTCCCAGGAAGATGAGCTGCTCCACTCCAAAGTTTTCTTACATCTCACACAGAGCTGCCTGTAAATAAGAGATTTAAATGTATTTAGGCTTTCTTTTGATTTCCTATCATCAGTCTAGTAATGCTTCAGTTCTTTTAATAACAATATTATACAAAATTGTCTGAACAATGCAATGTATGTATTGCTGTGTTTTTTGTATGAGGGGAAGCTGATTCTCCACAACATCCCAAAAATGTTTCTGAAGCAAGAATTAGATGTTGTTATGGACATGGAAAACAACTGCTAAAGTGTGGCTCTGTTATTCCATCAGAAAACACTATCAAGGTTTATTATGGCCATTTTAATACTGGCCATTGTTTTGTGTTTGCATCTGCTTACTTACTTCTACCTACGTACTGCATTTCTGTTTTTCACCCTCGTGTTTTTTTTTACATTTCTTATTTAAAGGTTTTCTTGTTTTGTTTTAATTCAGTTTTAATACGTTTAAGATGTCTTCCTGTTTTTCAAAGAAGTTGTGTGTTTATTTTTGATAGTGTGTGTGCTTCACATAGTGTGAAATAGATGTTTTCATCTTTTTTTGAAATAGTGATTTGTTTTTAAGTGTGCATACTTCTCTTGTTCTGTTGTCAGATGCTTCAATGTTTTTTAAAGACATTTCAGTTCTGTATGTTGGCACTACTCCTGATAGTTACATATGCTAGGTTCAGATACAGAGTTGTTCCCCAAGCATTTGGGAACAATGTTAGAGAAATACCTGCTCAATACCTCGACTTACCTCATCCTGCCAGAGAAACGTAGATTCAGTTTGTGTACATGGGTCACAGGCAATAACCAACAACAGTAGGTCTCATGGCTGTTCACAGCTGGTACTGTGTCCACTTCTTCCAACTCCTCCGTCCAGTGTTTGGAAACACTCCCAAGGTCTGACGATCTATGCAATTAATTTATGGTCCTTACAAATGCAATACTCCAGATATCCCTTCCGTCATGAAAGTGATCACCTCACAATGACTTCACATTCTGGCTCACTGATTTGATCTTTGATAAGAATTGTTTGCTTTCTGACTGACACATTCATGTCTGGTTCATTAACTGTTAGTACAATTGCTGCATTAAAAGGGAACTATTTCAAACCAAAATCTGGTTGTTGTTTAAATGACTGTAAAAAGTAGGAACTCCAAGAAATATAAAAATGGCAGGTGTCGTCCACTTATCTACCCAACTTCTATTTTACATGGACACCATGAAGCTGTAATTCATTCTTCCATCCGGTAGCATTTTTTATGTTCTGGTTACATTTTTTCAATCTGGTCCTGTTAGTCAAATTGCTAAGTAGGTGACATGGCTTCATTTCCAGGAGAAAATTAAACTTCACAGAAATGCCTTAGATTTAACTGTAAGGGTTAGTGAAGTGCTACTCAGATTTGGTGGGCTGGTTTTATTTCATGCACTATTGTTGAAGACAGTTTGTCATATCAAACTTCTCTGAACATGGATCCATGAAGCAACATAGAAACATTTTTAAATTACTATCTTCGTTTCCACTATCATTCAAATATTTGCATCCAAAATGTTGAAAGTAAATGTAATGATGGCTAATTGTAATACGTGTAAATAACTATTGCTGCTAGTAGACATGTTTAGGTCGTCACATGGGGTCAGTTTGTAACTCATGTTCAGAGATGTGTGTGTGTGTGTGTGTGTTTTGTTTGTAGTGTGCATCCACCAACCTCTTCTCAGTAAATGTTCAGTCGGTCTCCTTCATAGAATAAAACCCTACAGCTATTAAACATTTAACTTTGTTTAGATTTGGAACGTGTCATTTTTTTAAAAAATAAATAGTTTTCCCTGTAGTTTGTGTTTTTTGTTACACGACACGATTCCTCGTAAAAGACATGAAGCGTTTCAAATAAGCCGAGACACATGACCAGGTTCTCTCTTTATCAAATGTGGCAGTTTCCATATAAAACCCGATAGCTTGAGGTAATACACAAACAGTCACAATACATAAGCATTACTCTAAAACACACTTGCATCTAAATAAAAAATAGATAAGAAAAATGTAAAGAAAAAGTACATTACACTGTTCAAGATGCTGTGTTTTATGTACAAAGTTGAAAATATACTGAATATGCCCAAAAGAGACTCTGAATGACATAAAATAGACTTTGAACCTCAATTTACATCTTTTATAAAGAGAAGCAGATAAGGATTGTATACCCTGCTGTTTTAGGGTGCGACCAAGACTTGTTTTAGCAAATCTGTGGTATGGGAAACATTTTATTATCACTATAAATCATAGTCTGAGGCAATACTTGAAGACTTCTGTGCCTTTTAATAAAAAATGATTACAAAAATAGTTCTGTTTCTGAAACGTTCATATGATGAACCAAAACACACAGAGACAGACTTTTAGATGCCGTTTAAATCTCAGTTTTCATAATAAGGTGAAATATTACTTTGAACGCACTATGAGTATTAAAGAATGACAGAGACCAAAATGTACCATTACTTTTGTTAAACAAATGATACACCATAATGCGCTCTTCTCCCTGTAAAGACAAAAACAAGTACACTTTGTATGACGGCATCCAAACATTGCAGCTCAGAGTATGGTTTGTGAGTCAGTACAGTTTTCTGCTGGGCGTTACAAAACCAGCAGTGTGTCGTTCACCTGCTGTGCTGATGCTCGGCTGCACCACATAAACAATAAAGTGGAGTAGAGTACTGAGAGGCGGGGCTTGTTGCAGCTGAGGGTTTGGATTGGCAGGAGGGGATGAAGGGAAGCAGAGCTGGTTCCCGATGTCCTCAGCTGGTCTGCATGTCTTTTCCAGAGCAGGACCACTGTGAGTGGATCCTGCTGTTGAGCTCAGCCATCGCCAAGACTTCTCAACGTTCGAGACTGACTATCAAAGTTCATAAGCCTCGAACTGATATCACAACAGTTTGTGGTTCAGAATCTCCCAAACAATCCTTCTTCTGAAGTAGGGCATGTGTTTCTGAAAAGAAAAGAAAGAGCACGTCATTTTGAGGCCACTGAAATGATGATTACCAGAATCTTTGTTTGTCATTACCTGTGTGAACGTGATTGGCCTGTCTTTGGTGATGTAATCTGCATATTTGCATGTGAACATTCCACAGTCGCTACCATTCATCTGCTGAGGGATTTCCTGAAGAGAAATAAAGAGGTTATTTGACATTCCCCCTCGACAAACCCAATGATTTATCTGAAAACCTACTTTTTAAATCATTGAAAAACCACAATAAAATGAATGTGTTAAAGGATTTCCAGCACCTCTCTGAATCCTGAATTTCATGATGATTAAAAACGACTTCACTGGGTTATAACGCTGCAGTGCAAAACAAACCTGAACGAGCTGGCCATTTTCTAAAGCTATTATACAGAGCTTTGTGTTGACAATTAGCCTATGCCAAACTTCCTAAACACATGCCATTTGAAAACACAACATGAAATGGCAAGACAAATGCATGCTCTGCACCCTTGTGTGTTTAGGACTTACACTGCGCTTTTTGCTGTGGAGAGTCCAGTCTGAGGTATCCAGTGCTTTGCCCTTTTTGTCTTTACTTTCCTGTAGCAGGTAGTCTCTGGCAAGACAAATACAAATAACATTTTATACTATTTTTTTTTTTGCACATGAAAAACAATGAGCATTAGTTACATTTAGCTCCCAGGAAATATACCATTCAACAAAACTCTTATATGTGATACTGAAACTTACAATAATATTTGGCACGCGCCGTCATTGTTTCCTCCCATGGAATCAAAGTACATAATAGCCTTTTTGCGGAAATCCACCACCTGAGAGAGAGAGTTGCACAGTAAACAAACTGCAAGACAAAATCCCCAAATTGTTACTTCCAGGTTTCAAATCATGTTAAAAAAACTCACCGAGAGGCACCAGTGCACCCCCAGGTGGACAGGAACCAGAAGGATGTCTTTAGAAAAGATGTCTGTCTTCTTAGTCCAGCGGCGCACGGCAGAGTAGCCGCTGCTGCGCAGCCGGGGGTAGAAGAACGTGTTGAAGGTGTTGACCGACGGCAGCTTTGGGTCCTTGCTGCGCTCCACCAGCAGGTTCATATAAAAGTTGATGACCTGAGACATTAAGGAGGGAGAGTTTCAATTCACTGAACAAGTTGTGCTACATGAATTACAGACGCATTATGAAAAGGATAGTTCCAGTCCAATGTTAAATACTGTTCAAACAGCTGTGATCGCATTACAATTGTTTCACTGCACCATTAGTCACATATTGTGAAGTGGTTTGTTTAGCGGGACAGAATAGAGAACATTGTTATTATTATAACAATTATTTTGGCTTTGTTCCTTTTTATGAAACCTTGCCAGGTATATTTGATAAAGATGGTTTCATTAAAGCATTAAGAAACTAACTAATGACACCCTTCAGGTGTTTTTAAATCACTAGTGGGTTATTGCTTAAATAAAATCATGGTCGTATATCTTATTTTTATATCTGATGTACACATCTGCCAATAAAGGACAGCCTGCTGATCATTCACACGCAGATCTGACCTCTGGGATAAAGTGCACTCACCTCGTCATTGAGCCAGTTGAGGTCGCTGAGGGTCTGCAGGTCTTTGCGGGTGAGACTGAGACCAAAACCTTCACTCAAGACTTCATAATGAGCTCCATCCAGCGCCCCGTTCACCTCATCATCCATTTCCTTAACACACAGAGAGCATACAAGTGAAAAAGCAGAAAGCAAAGTATTCATCTAACCCAGGGATGGGCAAATGGTGGCCCGCGGGCCGCATGCGGCCCCCCACCTCCTCTTTACTTGTAGTACTGATACCATCCACTAGACTCCTAGTTATGTCGCGAGCTGCGTAGATGATTTCAAATACCGCGAAATAATCTGTGACGCATTTGTGTGTATTGTGTTTGTTTCCGGGGAAACCCTCACAAGAAACACCGGCTGTTGCTATGCCTGCTGTGACGTTAAGTTGCCTCTTGTAATTATGCCTTTACAAGCTTAAAGGTTGTTTTTATCATCTGAATTTGGCAAAACAAGTTTAATATTCTTAAAACCAAGACTTTGTTTATTTGAAATCAGATGAAAACAAACTGTCACGGACCCTGCCGTGTTATCTATGGTTACTACGCTTTTCATTCATAATTTCAGCGGGAGGGAGGGGGAGTGGTGCTGAGGAACAGCAGAGTGCGGGCGTGTTGACATTCCCCTTATTGTGGAATAAGGGGAATGCAGAGACTGACTACAAGTGTTTTAGGTTCAAGTTAGACAACTAATGTCTGGGTTAGTGTTCATGACTTCATGTGTATGTCATCTAATGCTTAATCTCAATGCACACACATTTTCCGTGCTTTCCAATAGTTTAAAATAGTTGTATTCCACTGTTTAATAACCTGTTCAATACAAACATGCCACTTGTAAAAATGAAATAACATTTCTGTGAACTGATATTTGTTTAGTGAGCTTATTAGAGGATGTTCCCATTTTGTGAATCTGCGGCCCCCTGGTGGCCAGTACATCAATGATGTGGCCCCCACCACCATCAAAGTTGCCCATCCCTGATCTAACCTCTATATTTGTATTATTATATATACACATTTGTCCCCAAATTCATAAAGCTTGAGGTCGTACAAAAAGTCCTCACCTCTGTGAGTTCAGGGAATTCTGGCTTCTCTTCCAAAGGCTTTGGTTCTTCGATCACACGAGTCAAAGGAACCTCCTTTTCCAAAGGAACTCGAACGTGGACCTCCACATCTGGGCTGCGTTGCCCCTCTTCAGACAGGCGCTGGGAACCAGTAACAACACAACATACGTTACTGGGAGGAGAAGAAGCTGATAAATGGATCTGAAAGAGAGCTGCAGTGGTGCGCACTGACCTGCCGCAGCAGCAGGCCCGTCAGCGCCTCCTGCTCTTCAATGTGTCTCCGCCTCTCTCTGGCACGGGAGTCATACATACTCGTCCTACAGTGCCAAAAAAAGATTCATGTTTCCTCTGTTCAATCATAACATCAGTGAATACTGGATCAATAATTAAACACATTGGAAAGTACTTACAATTCCTTTATCCATAACTCGGCTTGGAAACATGGCAGGCTGTAAAGGAATAGAAATGTGTTATTGTGCATACAATCCAGGGTTTCCCACACATAGACTATACTTGGGCGGGCCGCCCAGGTATAGTAACGGCCGCCCAAGTATATTTCACGACCCATTTAGGTTTGTTTTTTTTTTAAATAATTTTTTTTTTTATTTGTCCGTGACCACGACGCCATCTGCGATCGATTAACTTGTGGACAATGATCCCTCGCTCCCTTGCACTGATCTCGCCTCCTTCTGGCCTGTTAAGTGGCCTGCCTTACACAGGGTGTCCACATGATGTGGCCTGCCGACATGGCCACTGTCATACAGATCATAAATCAAAGCCCTTGATTGGTCTCTGTGTGTCATTCAAGCTCGGGATAACCTCAGCTCAGGTGAGGTAAAGGACTCTGAGTGTTTAGATAGTTAACTTAGTCTAAGTTCTCAGTGGGTCTCAAACGGTGTGGTCACCATTTATTTAGATCGGAAGGCTGTGAGTTCAAATCCCACCAGGAACACCACCACTAGTGTGCCCTTGAGTAAGGCACTTAGCCATTAATACTCCAGGGAGAATGTCCCTGTAATCGGTCATTATAAGTCGCTTTGGATAAAAGCGTCAGCTAAATGAAATTTAAGTAAATTGTAAGTGATTAGTAAAATTGCATGAATAAATAAATAAAAAGTTAACTAGGTGAAAAAAGGTAAGATACACTTTTAAAACTTGTTGAGAGAAAACTAGTCTTTGCTGCTGCCTCAAAGAGGAGCAGGGGGAGAGACAGGAGAGGCTGATTCCAAAAATAAATTAATAAACAAGTTTCAGTGTTTTTTTCATATTGGAAATGGTATGTTATTAGTCATGGCCATGATTTTATGATTATTGAAATGTATACAGTTCTGTTTAATATAGGTGTTTCCATAGATCTAGTCTCTTTATTTTCCCCTCAAAATGCACCAGATTGATGCATTTAACTCCAAAATAAAAAATAAAATCCCTGGACCCCCCTAGAGGATTTGAGGTTGACCCCCAATACATTTATAAATACATTTATTTTTTTAAATAGTAAACCGTTTCCATATGTTCATGTGTGGGTAGTAGATTTAAACTATAGGGCTATCACTATGGGCCCTGCCTGTACCTGTTCGCTCTGCCATCGCGTGAAGGGTCTGCTAACAAGCGACCAATAGAAAGGTTAATGTTAATGTTGTTGCACGTCACCTCAACCCCCCTGCTACTGCTGCTACCACCTCAACCCCCCTGCTACTGCTGCTACCACCACCACCCCCCCCCCCCCCCCCAAGTATATTTCAGATCTGTGGGAAACACTGGCAGTTAATGGACCAGCACCAGAGGCGTTCCCATACACACAGGCGTTGGAGCTGTTCTTCATGAAATCCCAGAAGGATGAAGTGCTCTGACAAACAGTGCCATCTTTGCGCAAAATGATTATACAGGAATGAAAAGTCAATAAATAAAAAAAATGTTTCCCCCCGGCCGCTTCCACCACCCGCCCAAGTATATTTCAGATCTGTGGGAAACACTGCAATCATAACACCCGAGTTGACTTTAGTCACTGTTTTTACTCCACCAAGTATAGCAGACTTTACATGGTACTAAACTCATTTACACTTTCTAAATTAACAGCACCAAATGCTTCGATAACGTACAATGATATTACTCGTTTAATTTCTACTAACTACAGTGAAATCCTATGGTGACGAAACAACACAAGGAACAACATTGCAAAGATTAGTGAAAATAAATACTAACCTTGAGCCGTCTTGCTTTTTACCCTTTTTCTCATTAACAATAATAACAGAGTCACTGTCATGAGCTGAAAGAAAAGAAAAGGTTGTTATAGCAAAAAGGAAAAAATACAGAAGCAAGCTAATATTCAATTTATTATGAACATCCCATATCAAGATGCCTTGTTTAAAATGTAGCAATGGTACCTGACCAGTGGCGAGCCGTCAGGGCCCTCTAGGCCCTCTGTGAGGGCCTAAGATATTCTAAAAAATAATATTTGAAAACATTACAAAAAAAACATTTTTTTTAAAAATATTTTTTTATATATGTTTTTGTTGTTACATTTTTCATTAGTTTTACCAAAATAACTTGATTTAATTGTATTTAAAATAATATTTCCAAAGAAATAAATCCTTCGAATCTGCCTGTTCAGTTTCTGTTGGAATGTGAAGGGTTAAATGCCGTCTCTGCGAGTTATGTGAAGACGGGAGGGCTTGTTGGTCCCTCTGTACATTCACAGAGGGCCCGCTATAGTAACTGAACGAGAGAGTAATGTCAAATGACAGTACAATTGACCAATCATATCTTCCCTCTAAATGGGCGGGCTTTATTTTCGCGGACTTTATGACAAGTTCCGCCCGCTGTGAGGTCTATGCAAGTGGTGCAGTGACGCGTCCTAAAACCCGGAAGTAAGCTTCACTCGGATTCCCTCGACAGAAAGCATTGGGATTTCTCCAGAGGATTTTGGAAAATAGCTCGAAATAAGGTCTGTGGAAAACGAACCTGATAAATAAATGCACGTTTTGTTCAGACGGATAATATTCACATGTCTACCCTACTTTTATAATTTTCGAATCATAAATCTAAACGATAGATTTATGATCGATAGATTTATGATTAGCATACGTTCGTTCATGATGGCTCACTTCAGTGATAGTGATGACATCGTTGCGAAATGATTAACCGAGTCATTTTCAAGATTGAGTTACAATGATAAACTGGAGTGGCAAAGGATCAGCTGAATGACCCGCCATCAAGTGCTTCATCCAAAAGGACAGGAGGATGGACTTTGTGTTTCAGTGATTTATCATCAAAGGTAGGCCTAAGTCATTTTCAATGTGGGCCGCCGTGTCGACTTAATTCATTTGTAATTGTTACTTGGCTGTGGGTGCCCTGTCATGATAGGTGTTTATATAAATGGTGTTGTTTTGTGTGGTAGAGGGTCGCTGTCATTGATGCGTTTTGCACCCCGGGCCGCTGTTTTGATATTCCGCTGAAGTATACGCTGTGACCTGTGACTGTGTGTGTGTGTTTATATATACCGTCTATGGCTGTGACGTAATATCTCTTCTTTTTTTTCGAGGGAAGGGGGTCAGAGGGCCTAGGTATAAAAGTCACGGCTCGCCACTGTACCTGACAGAGATGGGGACTCGAGTCTGTGACTCGGACTCGAGTCGCACGTAAGTCGCACACACAGAGACTTCAGACTTGACTTGGACTCCTGCTCAAAAGACTTCGGACTCGACTTGGACTCGTGTTTTGGGACTCGTGAACAATCATTGTGTTTTCTATTTTTGGCGTATTAAAGGTGGGGTAGGTACGTTTGAGAAACCGGCTCGAGATTGCTAAAATTTGAAAATACACAACCGGAGAAAATCTGCCACTTCCTCACAGAGCCCCTCCTCCAACACACACGAACGCGCACATGACCAATGAGGGCACAAGATAAGTTTGAGCCCCGATGGGAGGCTGACAGGCAGGTAGGCCATCCAGTTACTTTAGCCGGGCCGGCTATCGGGATGTTAAGAGCATTCCATGGAATATAACAAAAAGTGTATCTCGAGCCGGTTTCTCAAACTTACCTACCCCACCTTTAACATTAACATTAACATCATGGTAACACCATGGCAACCGTCGGCACACCTGCAGCTGTACCGCTTGTAATTAGGTTCAACTATAAAAACTTCGAACAAAACGCCGGCGGCACCAACAAAAGGAGCGCACACTGCAAAGTCTGCAATATTAAAATCAAGGATGCTGGTGCAACAACGTCAAATTTCATCAGGGACTTGAAAACTCACTCGGAGAGGTCAGTCACATTAACGCATATGGACGGTTAGCAAACATGTTTAGCTCAGCATCAGCTATGTAATGTTAACTTAGCTTGCTACTAGCTTTGTAACTGAATATTTGAAAGATGAGTGAATGTTTGCTTGTTGTCACACTTGTTTACGTTGAGTGGCGTCCAACTCTTGACATGACATAAAAAAGGTCGGTAACGTTAATCATTACGTTCCGCTGCCACCATCTACTGGCTAACGTTAAACGTCGAAAAATACATAGTTACATACATAAATACATCTGTCGGTTTATAGGCAGGTTACAGGTTTATTGTTGACCACGTAACGTTAATGTTACAGGTTTATCAGGTTACCATTACACTGGGTTTGAGTGAGAGGATAGAGGAATATGTTTATTTATAGTAGACTTAAAAGATGTCATTAGAGACCCAGTGTAATTAAACAATACGGTTGCAGAGGTCACATTTTAGTCCACTGGCCAAATGGCTAGCCTAGTGAATGTTGAAATGTTACCAGCCACTCAATAGATTGCCATTGTTAATTGTGGCTGGTGCGTGCAACATACAGTACCAGCCACTTGCATGATTTACCAGCATTTGGCTGGTAAATGGTGTTAATGGTAGATATCTCTTTTGGAACAGGTCATGTTTTAATATCACCAGTTCAGTATATTTCAGATAATATTGCAGCAATAGTTTTTTAGTTGCAAATGGCACAGAACAAATGTTTACTTTTAAGTACTTTAACACAGTTTCCCTGCGGGGGATTAATAAAGTATTTGTGATACTGATTTCTGATTCTGAAGTGTTTTGCTTATAAGTTGTTTGCATTTAGCTAAAGTGTGATGTTTGTCCTCATATTGCATTGCAATAGCCTGTTTAAAGTGATCATATAACAAACAACTAATCAGTACGGATACTGTATGCTAATAGATATAGGAGTGATAATAATACAGTAAATGCTTTGAATGTCTTAGATATAGCTGTGCAGTATTCTTAACAGACTGGATAGCAGCAGACAATAGAAGGCTTATTACAACCAGAAGAGACATGAGACTTTTATTTTTTAGAGACTTGAGACTTGACTTGGACTCGTGACCAAAGACTTGATCAAGTTTCACCTCACAAAGACTTGAGACTTGACTTGGACTCGTGACCAAAGACTTGACTTGGACTTGCAAAAAAAGACTTGTGAACATCTCTGGTACCTGATGACTGTGTGTCCTGAGAGGAGTTATCCTGCAGAGCAGATGGCGAGGGCGTTGATGGGAGAGTGGCTGCTCTGCTGGAACTGGGGTCCATGTCCGAAGACCATGTCTGGACCCCTGGCCTGCTGGAGGCCCCACCTGGGCTCGGGAGGTTGCTGGAACTGTGGCTTGACGTCCCCCTGGGGCTGGGGGGATTGCTCGGACCCTCTGAAGTTTCCCCCGCTGCTGACAAGCTAGGGGAAGTGAACTGTTGCACTCTGCGGCTGGAAATGAGGAAGCTGGAACTGATGAGAAAGTGACAGGAATAAGAAGAAGATACCATCCAGAACACAGATCTGAAGTATAGACATGGAACTATTAATATTTATTTTTTAATTCAGTTTTTGATAGATGGATATATCTGTTAGTTGTATTCTTTGCCTGCCGGTTCCAAATACAAAACATAGATGTGACTACCCCTTAAGCATGCTTGAATCACTGTTGGCAACAGAACAACAACAACAAAAAAACACATTTTGGATCGAGGTCTCCCTTGAAAAAGAGATCATTGATCTCAATGGGATTTTACCTGGATAAATAAAGGTTTTGAATTGAATTGAATCGAGTACCATGGTTGACCTTATTTGCTTTTGAAGCCCCCAACTGGCCTGTGACTGAATTCTGACAACTTTCCCGCTGTGCCCCCCCCCCCCCCCCCTACTCTGTATTCACTTGTATACCTATTAACAGTTTGAATATGACACTGGTCAAGTCTACTACATTTGTATGGCTGCGTACAAATCTCTGTGTGATCTCACGATGGCGTGTGAGCCCCAGTTGTGAAGAGAAGATGACTGACCACCCGAGACCATGGTCAGGAGCTGCTTGTAGACCTCCTTCTCCTCTTCACAAACAGACTGCACAAACACAAAGGAGAAGCAATACATCAACAAAAAACACACAAACTGAGTTAGAAGTTATTAAAACAGTCCGGATGTCTGACCTCCTGTGCTGTGCAGTGGGTCCGGGCATTGTGAAGGCGCCCAGATGAGCTGCTGTGTGTTGGGCTCTGCACCACTTTGATGGGAAAGTTCTTCTCATACATGCTGGTGCAGGAGCTGCTTGTCACTCCAGTAAAACTGCAAAGACAAAATGAGCATAATAATCATCTACCTACTGAAGTTCATATAACAAAAAGCAACAGCAATCCTTATTGTTGAGCCCTGAACTATTTTGTCTTGAGGTAAAAGGTGAAAGAAATACCTTGGTGTTCCATATGGTCGCAGGTTTAGGGGCCTGCCGAGCCGTGGAGAGGGATGCAATTTTGGAGTTATGGAGGCTGGCAAGTTGACTGAGTGCCCATTTGTTTTTGGCACTTCACGATGTGTAGGACTCATGCACACTTGTCGCCTACAGACTTTGAATCCCACATTGGTCTTCTCATTGCGCGACCATTCTAGAGTTGAAAGAAAACAGTACAATAATGAACTTCTCTCCAAGAGCCTTAAGTCTGCACAAACCAACCTTCATTCTAATGACAATAGAATGCTCTTAGTGACCATCTAACCTGATTTGGATGCTTTCCAATCAAAAGTGGTCGAAGGAGCAGCAAAGTGCTCATCCAGGCAGTTCCTTTCAACAATCTTAAACCAAAAGAATATAGGAAATCTTTAATTAAAAGCGTGAAATGTTATCAAATCTCAACAGCCAAGACTGAGCATCCTTACCGGCATCCCTGCCCAGACTGCTGCAGATGTTGAGGGCTGGGGATCTTGAGGTGAAGGACCAGGGGTGGCAGGAAGTATATCTCTCAGAGCAGGGCTCACATTGTTCCTCATCCATGTAGCTATACTGGAGCTGTGACTCTTAACCCCTTCAGCTGCAACCTTTACTGTGTCAATAATATCTCCTAGAGAAATGTAAAACAGACGGACAAGATTGTAAGCAGCATAACACTGATTCAACTATATGATCACATACACGGACATCATAACAAGTAGCAAAGTGAGTTATTATTTACCCATTCGAGATTTCTTTATTACACCATCTTCATCGAGGTTATGCCCATCTTCCAAACTTAAAGGGGAAACAGATTGACGCTATACAGTTAATAACACATTCATTTAGACAAGTGATGATACAAATATTCACATAACAAATGTTGAATCGAGACAATGAATGGCAGCTCTACAGAAACTGTTAAGTTCACCCATAATATAACAGAAAACAAATTTCGGGTCGGTCTTTTTAAACATACTGACTTTTGACTACACATGGGAATATTGCGGTTGTAGCTCGTACCATTCAATTGGTCTTTTCCTCCTCATCGGACCGTCTGCTTGTGCCGGGTGAGCATCAGAGTGCTCCGCAGCTGGGACACCGTTGCGAAGATTGGCAAAGCTTGTTTCTATCCAGCCGTATATTTGATTCAACATGGCTTTCAGAAATATAACCGCCGGTTTGAAAATAAATAGCTAAAGTTGCTTTCAGTCTACCTGTCAATATAGTCCCAAAAAAATGAAGCTAACGCGCATCATTCGATTAACGCAGGTAAGCTGAGGCTATTTCAAAGGCTAACGCTCTTCACAATTAACATTTTCCTTTCCCACGAAACGAGCTAACCGTTAGCTAGTTGCCTAGATAGCCCACTACGCTAACCACCCCGCTAGCTAACAGAGCTAGCTAAACGGCTAATTTATTGAAGTATGTTTAAATTCCAACAGGAATGCGACAAGTCGCAAACAACGCCTTCGGGAAAAAGTGTATCATGTTGAGTTACACCCTAACTCATTTATATATATTTTACGATACTTTAAATTGTATATAAACTCGTTGAAAAATATTATCTCCCGCTTCTTCCTCATTCAAAACCACAACATGGCTGAAAAGGACGCTCAACCATCGCTCATTGTGATTGGCTGACAGGGTGTTGTAAACCCCAGTGTAACCGACATCTACTGGCTGAAGGCAGACTGTTGGAGACCATTTAACTTCACGTCACACCCGGCGGTATGGAACAAATCTTTAATAATTAAAATAATGTTTTTAGGTTCACAACTCATTTTCTCTCTATTGTTTCATTGAGTCTTAATGAATCTTCACATCTCGCGTCTTTTAATTAATATGTCCTTATTAATCTAATTAATTTTTTATCAGCACTATACAATAATAAATAACTCATCTTAAGTGTTTCTATTGTTCTGTGTTTTATTAAGAATGTTTATGATCATAACAATACATTCCAAATGTATTGATGTATAGATTATGTTATCGTACACAACTTTAGCAATAACTTAATTTCTTAAATGGAGTTACATGAGTAACACAGACTAAATAAAGGTAATCAGTTAAAGAGATGTATTATTGGTTAAATGATAGAGACCAAGAGAGTTCATTCATACACATCCACTCTTTAATAAATTAAAAACAGTAACACCAATGCTTCGATGAAATGCAGGGTGCTCTTAACACAATATATTTCATCAATATCATCAAATAAAGATAGTAGGCCACTTTAGACGACTTATGAATTCATTTCATGTTTTAAACTCACACTTTCTGAAATATATATCTCGTTCGGTCATAAAAAATACACTTCAAATGTCATGAAATACAGCATTCAAGCCTTTCTACAACTGCAGGCCTTATCAAAAGTTACATGAGATTCCATGCATGTATGGCACTGTTTCATTTAATTATCAAGTGTCACCACTTCAAACAAATGAAATACTTAAAAATAAATAGGACCAGAATGCCACATATCTATTTTTTCACTAAATATATTTAACTCAAAACATTTTAGATTCAAACATACATATTAAACAAATTACATAATAAACAATGTGAATGCAATAAATGACAGCCTCAGAGTTAAGTTAAGCGGAATAAAAGTATGAGAAAATAAACACATGGACTACAGAGTAAACATGGGTAACAAATCAAGGCAGAAGTGAAGCAACATCCCAAATCAAATAAATAACATTTTCAGATTGTCAAGAGTGAAAGTGTTTCTTGTAATTCACAGTATTCAGACAACATTGGATCTTCTTGGAAACACAAAAATAGTATTTTTTAAAGACATATGTGTGCCTTCAGTCACAAAATCCACTCCCCCAATAGCCAAATGGTAGGATGACTATATTGGCAAAGTTAAGGCTTTTTAAGAGCCATGCATATTTAATTGTAGATCACATACCTATTGAAGAGCACTGACATCTATTGTGTGCAATACACATTTGATTTATAGGCAGGAATGGACATAAAGACACCAATACAGCTTTATATGAACACTCACAGTATGTTTTATCTATTTAAAATGGAGGAAGATCAATGATTGTTTCCTGCTGGAAAAGCTAGTAAGCTAACCCTATGATGTGGTGTAGGTTTACAACATGCTAGAGAAGAGGGAAAGGTTGTAGACATTTTGGATTTGAACACTGACACATATCTATGTAAGTGTATAGCTGTACATAAGATTAACAAATTATGTGTGGCCTAATCAGGATCAGGAAAAAAATGAAGTTGTTACAATTGGAAGCATTGTCACCACAAATCACAAACCTTCAAAATACTTTGATCTTGTCCACCTAAAATCCCAACTCTTGTATACCAGTGGGCCAATGGTTTAATCATTTTTTGTTCCAAAGATTTGGAGGAAGAAGGAGAAGATATAGATGATATCCAGGTAGATGTTGAGAGTGGCAAAGACGTACTCTTCTGGACTAATGCTGTAGCGTTTGTTACCCATGATGAGCTGGGTATCAAATGCTAAAAACTGAAACAGAAAAAAAAACAGCAAGCACGACATCTTTTTGGTTATTTTGATTCTCATGGATCTGGTTATTTATAGTTGATATTAGATATAGCCTAACAGCATCATTACTCTTACCATGGTGAACAGTATTGCTCCCAAGACAGCGTAGGTGGCATCCAACCAGGGTACCTAAATGGGAAAAACATGCAATGTCAGTGTTTAGGTCACCACACACAAAAGACACTCGTTCATATTTGAAAGCATATGATGGTACAGTGATATCCGTTTTTAGTAAAGTCTGCACTAGTCTTATGTGAATCTCAGACTTTAAATTAACATTTGTATTTGATCAAACTTTATCTTGGTGGACTCAAAATGCACGTTTTAGTCTTGCCTGATAAATAACTGGTGTAGTGGCTCTATTTGGATTCTCGTACTTACATAATGATAGGGAAGGACCATTGCCAGCACTATCCCGGAGACAAACATCACCATGCAGAAGACAAAGAGCACCCCTTGGTATGATGTCAGATCAATCTGGATGGAGGAAACACATGACATCAACCCTGTGTTATTCTCACAATGTGAAAAGCTGACTTGACATGATTTTTACTGTTAATCATGCATACAGTATATCACATAATATATGATATACAGTTAAGGAAATAGTGGGTTTTTTTCTCACCTTAGATTGAAAGCTGAAGACTGTAACCAGGAGACAGACTGCTGCTGTGATGCCCAGACACAATACCACTGACTTGGTGTTATAGAAACTATTAAAAAAAGACACATGCAACAAAACGTACTGAAAATGTTTCAAGAAATGTCAAACCAAACACATAACCTCAAATAGCGTAGAAAAGTACATTGCTGCTAAAATTATCTGAAAGCAAAGCCATCATGCTAACTAAGAAGAGAGACTGAAGCAGCAAAACATAATGCAAGGTTGAACACATTTACATAAAATGGTGCATAAAATATAGAAGTGTACCTGGACAACATCCCTGTCATGTATGATAGGGAGAGGGTCTGAAAAAGACATGATAGTCATGTGAAAAATCTGGCATTTGTTACATATAATATATTCATACATTTATTTTGGAATAACATTTATAATATAGAAAACAACATTTATGTAAAGATACATATTTGCCTTGCACTTACAAATATGCCAAGCAGAATCAGATTCCATGGAAACTGTCTCCTGTAAGAGTAAGTCAAAGTGATTTGTGTTATTATTTTAACATTTTTGAGAATCAATCAAGGATGTCAATTTCTGGTCTTCAGAACCTTTACATTACCTTGGTGCAGAGCAGCAGGACAGGGTCAGATATGTGACAAAGAACACAGCACTGTTAAAGAACAAAAACATAGTTAGATATTTTTGCTAGATAGAAAGACATGAACCAAAACCGACAGAGTAATGGTGTATTACTAAATAAACCTGTTACTTACTAAGATGCCCAATACCAGCCAGGGTTGGTTTGAATGTAGTCCTTCACAGGGTCACTAAAAAGAACACAGTCTTAGGTAAGATTTCTACCAAGAAAACATGTTTAATGTTGTTCAACATTTTTATTATAAGCTCACCAGAATGTGAAAAGAGCCACAATAGAGAGAGTGACCAAAAGCTGGATCATCAAGATGGTGTACACCTTATAAATAAAAACATTTGCATAACGGTAAATGTACAGATATGTGCAGGTTGGGTCTTTTAAGAGTAACATGTTAATATGAAGTAAATTATCAATGATACACAGCATTCACTATGTAATATTGAGATCAATTTAATGCTAAAGATTTCGATACCTTACGTATGAAGATCCTCCGGATGTTACGGTCATCCCAGGTGAACTCTGTGAGCATCTCACAATCATTGTAGCAAGGCGCACTGGTGCCTGGAGAAAAACAATTAATTAACATGATAAACATTACCATATGTACTTTAGAAAAGAAAACGACACTAACAGTAAGAGTAAATGTAGGACAAGTTGTTGGTATACCTGCAGTGGCTTCCTCATAGCTGGGAGGAATTGGCGCCACTAAGACTTCTCCACTGCCATTGGCGCTCTTATTTGCAAGTAACAGCTGATATAATAGCACAAAAAAAGAACAATTTGTTATACATTCCATTTAGTGTGTTTCACATTTTAGTTGAGAGTAAGACTAGATTTTAATCGGAAAGAAATCCCTACAAAATATCAAATAAAGTGAACATCTGTGATGCAAGGGATCACAAATAAATAAGCTGCAATTAAAGGTGAATCATCAGGCCTACACTTTTACTCACATGTCACCTGCTTTCACCCATCAACATGGCAATTGATATTTTACATGGTTTCAGAGGGGAGCACTGACACATTCTCTTCTTCAAAAACGACTACAACTTGCTACCCTTCTTTCAGCTGGTTCAGGAGCCCAGCACTCGCAACTTTAAATGAACCGAAAATAAATAAACAAGTTTCAATGTTTTTTAATATTGGATATGGTATGTTATTGGTTATGCCATGTTCTTATGATTTTATGACTATTTAAATGTAGTTATGTTTCATATGGGTGTTTCCATAGATCTAGTCTCTTTATTTCCCTGTTAGCAGATTTAGACTTATACCTTTTGTCTCCTGCAGCAGAAAGGTGAATAATCTCAGCAGTTCAAGTTTAGCCATTCATCACGGCGTTATTTATTATAGGCACACATCTCAAGAGACTTGAGGACAGAGAGAGAGAAGGGGCGTGACTTCCAACGGTCTATACCCCAGGTAGTGACATCATCAATCATGTGGTACAGCGCTAACCAATGAACACAGTAGTAGTCGCAGCTACTTACATAGACAATATGGTACACAGTAATACATGGAGTCATACACTATACATGTACATGTATGTATGTTATATCTCAACATTCCCCCTCAAAATGCACCAGATTGATGCATTTAACTCCAAAATAAAAAAGTATATCTTTCTGGGGGAGCATGCCCCGGACCCCCCTAGAGGATTTTAGGTCCACCCCCACTTAAAATATGTTCACATGGATAGGTTCCTAAATACATTTGCAATTTTTTTTTAAATAGTAACCCATGTCCATATGTTTATTTTGGGGTAGTAGATTTCAACTATAGGGCTATCACTATGGGCAGGCAGCAACGCTATAAATATTGACAAATAA